AAAGGAAAGATCCCTGCGGGAAATATTTCCCTTTATAAACCTGGGCTAAGAGGGACTGGGGTTCAGTCAGGATTCGCCATCCTATCTTCGCAAGAAGTGCTTGATTAAAATGCTCGAAACGACGAAAACCCATGCCTCCCTCATGTTTACTTCTATACATGTTCCGCCAGGAGACCCACCGGACCCTCGAGCGTCCCTCCTCAACCCCCCACCAGAATCGAGCCACATGCTTGTCCAGGAGACGACAGAGATACAGAGGCAGACGAAAACAGGACATCACATGGAGCGGCAGAGCTAGAGCAATAGATTTAATCAGGGTTTCTTTAGCTGTCGACGAAAGAGTCTTTCGCTTCCATCCTTGAAGACGTTCTAATAACTTCTCCTCCAGGTACCGGAACGTGGCCGTCTTGGATCTCAAAATCAAAGTTGGGAGACCAAGATACTTATCTTGCACCCCTACTGCTCCTACGCCTAGGATCTCCGCCAAGAACACCTGATCCGGCAAGGTAATGTTCTTACTAAAACACACCGCCGACTTCTCCAAATTCACCCTTTGACCGCTGAGCTCCTCATACTCATTTAGTACTTCGATCAGATTCTCACACTCATGTAGGGAACCCCGGAGGAACAAGTAAGAATCATCAGCAAAGAACAAATGGGATATGCAAGGAGCCCGGGGCGCTACATTAACCCCTGCCAGCCTCTTATCAGAGATGGCCTTACAGAGTAAAGCAGCAAACCCTTCTGTGCAAAGCACAAAGAGTAAGGGAGAAAGAGGGTCACCCTGGCGAAGACCACGAGAAGGTGCAAAGAAACCTGTTGGAGACCCATTAACGAGTACCGAAAAAGAAGTTGACTGTAAACATTCCCGAATCCAACCTCTCCAGACAGAGCTAAAACCCATTTTTTCCAAAACCGCCAGAAGAAAGGACCATTCAACTCTATCATAGGCCTTTTCCATGTCAACCTTTAGAGCCATGTAACCTTTCTTGCCTCGCGTTTTGATTTTCAAATAGTGCATTAGCTCATGCCCAATGAGGATATTATCCACTATCTGCCTTTCTCTGATAAAGGCATTCTGACCCTCCGAGACAACAGCAGGCAAGATCACAGCAAGTCTTTCCGCCATAATTTTAGTGATTATCTTATAAACGAACTGGCATAAGCTAATCGGACGAAGCTGACGCATGGATTCCACCTGATCGACTTTCGGGATCAGGGTCAACCAAGTGTGATTGAAACTCCGGAGCATCTTACTCGTGGCAAAGAAAGATCCCACCGCTGAAACCACTGACTCCCCAACAATCCCCCAAAAGGCTTTAAAAAACTTGCCCGTGAAACCGTCCGAGCCCGGCGCCTGCTTTGAGCCCATCGCAAAGACCATTTTGTGGATCTCAAAGGGGCTGACCTCAGCGGTTAGGGTAGCATTCATTTCTGGGGTCACATTGGAGGCAATGGGGAGCTCAGCCACACGCTCAGCCATATTATGAACTTGCGACTCCGAGGTGAAGAGAGATTGGTAAAAAAAATTGAGTCATTTTTTACCAGTCTATACCATATGGTATTGACTGGTATTGAAATAAGAGCATACCTATGGTATGAAAAGCATATCATGGTGGTATGAACAAACCAAGACTGTAGGATGGTTGAATACATGATAGTACAAGTATATTAACTATCATTTACGACTTTTAACAATGTGTACCACAAGATATCACCTCGTACCAGGGGTGGTATTGTGTGGTATTTTTTGGTCTTGTATTTTGTTCACTCAGAAATTTGTAGATCCAATAGATCATGACGAATTCGCTCCTTCTCTGCAAAAAATTTCAAAAACGAATTAAAAACGAAGAAGATACCATATGGTATGCAGTGGTACCGAGAGGCAATTTTTTTTTTCTTCCTAAAAAAATATTGAAAATGGATCTCATTTTGTAGAGCACAACGAACTCGTTCCATCTGTGCAAAAAAATTGAAATCCGAGTTTAAACGAAGAAGATATGAGCCGATTAAGAAAATAGGGAAAAATAAAAAGATCTTTAATTCTCCACCCTTACATCTGGATTTTCTGAATGAATGGTCCGGATTTAGTTATTGATGAGTGCATAACCATGAGTTATGCACCTTATCTCGAGCCCTTATTACCACATAATTTATTCCATCGCTTCCATATTCCTTCTTAATTTCTTATTTTTTATAATATTTTGGCTGATATTATTATTTTTTGGATAAGATTGATATAGGTTTCAATTTGTGATTAAGGTACTACTTAAAAGATTTGAACTTGAGACCTCTAGGTTCTAGACTAATGGTATTACCACTAGGCCAAGCTCTTGTTTGTATATTATTTTTTAGAGAAGTCGATTACTCGATTTCAAATAATCGAATAGTCGATTACTCGATTATTTAAAATCGAGAATCCACTTCTCTAAAATCCATTGCTTTTGTCCTCAAATCATGGAAACAAATATTATTAACTTAATAAATCTTAAAGAAGTTGGCAACCTATTGGAATTTTTTTGGCAATTAAAGCCCCAACTCTAATTAATTAATTAATCATTATGTGAGACCTTAGTACGTGAGCTTTTGTCCAGAATGTGACAATCCTCTCCCTTTCTCTCTCTTAATTTTCCTTTTTGGAAAAGTTCGTCAAAAGATAATTTAATTAAGTTTAGACAAGAGGAGATCTTTCCCCTTTCTCTTGACGGAATGTTTTGCCTATCATAATCCGGCATACCCCGATCAGTATAATCCATGTTTTTATTACATCGATAAATTTGTGAAGAAGAACTGATTCGCTCAATTTATACCAGATTAAACCAAAATTTAATCGGGATTGTGAATGAAATATTTGTTGCCAAACAATTCGTTTAACTTGTAACCCATCAAACGTGTATCACAACTGTGATCCATAATTTCAAATTTCAAGTTCTAACAAAATGGAGAACTTTTATAATGATGTAATGTCAATATACGATCATGCAATAATGTCATGATGCAAGTGACCTACTTTGTGGTACAACATCAAAGCAAATCAAACCTCAGAAAGTGAGATTGGAACAATGGCAAATGAAATAATGCACATTGTCAAATCGTGCATAACAAGCTTGCATCCAACTTTGCTAGGAAAGCATGCTCAAATTGAACTGCATACTTCTAGAATGTTTTAAACCACGATGATCAAATCAGAATTGGACGAGTACTCTCGATTGTGCTAGCCATTTGGTGTTGCTCTATTGCAGAGTTTGATGCCTTTGTTGGTAACTTGGTAATTGTTGTTGAGTATTATTTGGTGCGAACGATGTAGTCATGCATTTGGTCGTACGCTCACGTGCACTAGTAGTATGGTAAGTTCCACGAGGACGTTTGTTTTCGGTCACTCGAAACTTAATTATAGCTAAGTTTCGTTTGTCTTCTTGTCCCTGCCTCCTTCAGTTTGGGTTCGCTTTGTAGCTAAGACTACGGTTTGTAGTACATTGACTTAAACAACTTACTTCTTCTACATCCCGTATCTTGTCTAGTACATTGACTTAAACAATTTACTTTTTCTACGTCTCGTATCATGTCTGATGAGACGCGCTTAATACGAATCCCACTATTCATCGACCCGAAGAAGAAAAGCAAAGCAAAGCAGAAATGGGAAGGGGGGAAAGTATTCAAACATTTTGACTACCCAAAAGCAAGAAAGAAAATGCCAAAGCACAAAGGGGCCCTTGGCCTTGTGGGAGGGAAGTGTGTAAAGGAGAAGAAAAAAAGGGTGGAGGGGTAGTAAAATAGCTTGCTTATTAGATTTGCCAATTTCCCCCATTTGATTGCCATCCTTACACACAAACTTTCAATCTTGGATTTGGATCAGATGCCACTAGACTAACACCACACCTCCATTATTTAATGGGTGGGTGATTGAGAAAGAGAGAATAGATGGATAGTGAGTGAGTGCCCTTCAGCTCCCAAAGATTGACAAAATTTTGAAAATGATGGGTTTGAGATAGTGCCCTCTCTACTACCACTCCCTCCCTGCCCCATAAACCCTACCACCTTTTCTGTCACTTCCCCAAACCCTTTTATTAAGTAGCCCCCACACACATGGCATTGGCACTTTTCCCACATTACCTCCATTCCCTACTGCACTGCCCTACCCAACCCAACCCAACCCAGCTAAGGACACCAAAAGGGAAGAAAAAAAGAGGCCACTCTGCACGGACTGATTCCGTCCCATCGTGTTGATTCAGATCGGAAGGAATCAGCCCCCGCAAACCTCCTCACTATCTTCATGATAGCCTGAAATTAGTCCCTCAAGACGATGCAGTATGATAATCCAACTGTATCAGTTAAGCTTGTTGGTTCAATTAACCAAACCTAAACCACTGATTGATTGCAATTGAATTAGGTTATCTTCCTAAAACCGAACCCATTAAGAACTCACCAATTTTTGGTTAACTGATAAACCCGTAACAGGTTCGATTAGAACAAACCATAAATCAAACTTCCTGCACCCCCAATCAAAAACCGGAATCCCCTTCACCTCCCGCCCAATATTTTCGATTTCCTATCTGTTGCTTGGTTTAAACTTTAAACAAGAAACCGATACGGTATGAACCAATTTGGGATAATAAAAAACGAAACTGATAACGTCCTTATAGGTTCGGTTTTGATTTAAACCGAAACCGATATCCCCGCCTTAGTATCAGCCCGTGTATACCACACACCCACTATCTACCATACCCTAAAGCCACGCCCTTTCTTCTTCTCCTCCTCTTGTGAAAAGCGAGATGTTGCTTTCACACCCTCTTTTGCTGACCCAATTCACACACAATAATAATAGACATGTGGCCGTGTAGAGCAGGTCCTTGTCACGAACCCTAAACTCATATGCTCCCAAGTCGATCCCGACAAACTCAAACATCCTTTTCAACTGTTCATTTACTGAGACTGAGACCACCCTAATGAATGAATCCAACTGTACCCTTGTGTCGGCAAAAACAGGCAATCAAACAAACATCCAGATATTTATGAAAAGCCAGCTACTTTTCGATTTAGCAGCATGTAATTAGGTGCCTTTTCCTGCTAATGATATGCATAATATATCCATTTTGCAAGTATATTCCCATCATAGACATGAAAAAAACGGGGGGAAAAGGGGACAGGGTGTCCTAATCCTCTGTACTTAGTTACAGACTTACAGTAACAACATCTCAATAGACTTAAAGAAGATCAGGCATTCTCTTACTCATGGCCTCTACTACTACATACGTGACAGTGGCGGCGCCTAGATATTACACTGCATGGAGAGGATTAACCCATTCTTCTAAGCAGTTAAGAGAAGAAGAAAAAAAAGAGAACTTACTACACATGGACTTCTTCTTCTTGGTTCTTTGATCTAGTATTCCAAAGAACCCACAGATTTTATACCAGTGGTCAAGTTCCTCGCGTCCTGCCGGCTTGCAAACTCGTCGCAGCTTCCATTCGCGAGCCTCTTCTGAGCTGAAACCGAGCTCTGTAGCTCCAGCCCTTGTTTGCCCATTTGCTGCACTTCCTGTGGTGACAGTATCTTTATGCACCACACATTGTTCACAAATTCCCTGTTCATTTGGCAAAAAAAGAAGTTTGCATATATGATTTCGGTATGTAATGGGAAGCAAACAATACTCAAGGTGATGAAAGAAGCACTCACGGCCAGGGGTCGTCGCCAAGAAGAAGCACATCGTTCTCCCGGTCAACAATTACAAGCTGCCAGCCTGATCTCAGGGGGTCCTCCAATTGTCCTTCGAGCCCAAACATCCGAGCCAGCTCGCCCCTCAACTCGTCGTAGCCGCTGAATTTGGAGATATCCAGTGACCTACCAAAGGACCCCGACTTGTATACCTAGCAGCAAAAATTTCCCCATTGGTGTTCAAATTTGGGGTTGCAGAAACTCATCATGCACAAAGGGAATTCCAAGAGTAGCATCATCTGCATATTATAATACTCTTACCTTAACAAAGTTTGTATCACTTGATGAGTTGTTGACTTGGCCCAAACTCTCCGATGACTGCATGAAGCCTGACTCATCAACACCACAACTCGATTGGGCCGCCATTGCAGAATGATTAAGCGAGAAATCTGTTGTTCCCATGTTGGTCATGTAGTTAGATGAGAAGTGCAAGCCAGCACTGTGATCACCACCATCACTGCCGATTACTCCCCTAAGGCTAGACATTCCATTGGCAGCCATCAAAAGTGATGAGGGCTCAATATTCACACCGAACAAAAGATGGCTCTGTGGATCGCTGCCACCTTCTGCGTCCACTGCAGAGCACTCCTTCCCTGGGAATGGAGGCAATGAAACAGCATTCTGGGAGAATTGATGAGCTTCGGGCGAAACCAGAGGTTCAATGGCAGCTCTCTTGGACGGCGGCCAATCAGAAGGAGAATTCATCAAGGGACTGGTTCGAGACAGGTTGAGTAGATGGGATGATGATTCATCTTGGGGAAATGAGCCAAGGAGACTGTGTAATGGAGAGACAGCAACAGGGCCTGACACGTGGTTCCCACTAGAATCGGAGAAGCTCTGCTGCTGCTGCTGCTGCTGCTGACACAGTGAGGACATGGGCTGGGATGGTGGTGACTGGTATTGAGATGTTGCTGCAGGACGAAACTGAGGCCCATTATGACCCGCATTTGGAATCTGCTGATTATCAACCTGTATTTGTTGCTGTGGCCTTTGCTGCTGCTGCTGTTGACTACTGTTGAATGACTGCTGATGCTGCAATTGTTGCTGAATGAAGTTTGACTGATTTTGAACCTGAGCCTGAGAGATGGCATGGAGTTGGTTCTCTTGGAGAAGAGTCTGTCCAGGCTGAGACTGCTGCTGCATCTGAGGCTGTTGCATCAAAGACGATGGGGTCCTACCTGCTGGAAGATTGTCATGTTGCTGAAATTGCAGGAGGGAAGCAGTTGGTGATTTCAGAGAATCCACGGCTCTCATCTCCTGAAGAGCTGCAGCAGCCATGGCTTGGTAAACATCGGATTGAAGCCCAAGCATGGAAGAGGCGTCGAGCCTTGGTTGCATCATCCATGGTGCAACACCACCCATTCCAGGGAAGTTCATTCCTTGAAGTCCACGGTCTCCATCTCCTCGAAACCATATGAGAGGAGAGTTCATTCCCAGATCCTCATCTTTGATTCCTGAATTTCAATATGAGAGAGTTACAAAAGGACACTTGAAAAGAAAAACACTAACCTTTATGGGAAAAATAAATAATACAGAAGCTCACCATTGAAAGAAGGAAAGCCAGGTGGCCATGGACGTTTAAGCCTCAAGGGAAATGGGGAAGGGTACATTGGGAATGTTGTCAGTGGTTCAATCTCCCAAAGAGATACTCTTGGCTGCCTCTCTCCAGCAGTCGATTCATCCCAGCCAACCTGCATCAGTTTTTGGGGGTTACTACTAGTACTTACAATAGTTCTAAGAGATACATTCAGCAAGCAACACAGTGATATGTAATGATCTCAATTTACCTTGACTGAGCGCCAATATGAATTTGGCCATTTAGCAGAATCTAAATCACTTATGCCAGTTATTGTACCCATGTAGCTGGACAGACAATCATAGATGTTAGACTAAGAGCAATGCTTTCCATGGCAAGAAATTCATTCAAACAGAAACCAGAAGAGAGTTGGAGATAGACAGTGAAATTGGCTAAGAAGCGCAGAATGAAAAAACATAGCTTGTAGCACCTACCGGCGGACACTTGATTCTTCAGTTTCAAATAGCATCCGAAAGCGCATGCCAACAGACACCCGAGTATGATAGACAGCTTTGACATACTTCGCCAGTGGAATGACAAATTCAGATGGACAGGCCCTGCTCGAAAGGGAGATGAAAAAGTTTAAAGAGAATACTATATAATTGGCTCTTGCATTTGAGTTAGAAAAGATTGTACCTTGGATTGTAGAATATGGTGAAACGACTATTGGTTGCAGCTGCATGGGCAGCTGCAGCAAGAAGTCCCAGATGCATGCTATCACTCGATAAGACCGATGAAGGCATCACGGTTTGAGGGCGGCTAGCACGTCGAATGCCAAGGAGTAACTGATTTCTTTCGTTCCTGATTGGAAGAGGGGAAAAAGAAAGAATCTTGGATAAATGAATGTGAAAAAAGTTGCATTGGAATAACATAGATAAATGAATATATGAATAGAAATTCAAGAAAACCAGTATACCAGATGAAAAGAACCGAGTCGCCGGCAACAAGTCTTTTGGCACTGACAAACACACTCCACCCTGTTGTAAGCAGATGCCGCTTAGGCTGGCCTGAAATGACAGAGCAGTTCATAATTAATATTCCTTAACAGAATAACACACATTCTAAAGTTAACCCAACCTATGTTTTTAAGCCATAAAAAACTCACCGCGAAAGATATGCCTGAATTTCCACTCGTTATCATGCAGATCCCTAGCAATTAACTCCTGGCACGGAGGTTGCATGGAAAAGTCCTGAAATTTCAGAATCATTGGTTAAAGGGTGACCTTACTCAAGCTCAAGCTTCAAAAAATTACACAGGTATATTGCCGGTAAATTTGCAATAATATAATCATGTTATTACCAAAGGAGGGAACACTTTTTCAGCTGCTCGACGAGGAACAGAGAAGCCTCCATGAGTACTTGTGTCACTGGCAGTCAAAGTCTTGCAAAAATAATTGGTTGGTTGTTTGCTAGGGGCACCCAACTCTGCTGGCAGGTAGATATCCTTTTGTTCTTGCTGCAAAACACAATGTCAAGTAAAACATCCTTGTTGTCAAATCTTCTACAAGCAATGTAGACTAGCACAAATCAAAACACCATCAGAACGTTATATACATACCGGACTCAGTGGCTGCAATGTCATCTGTGCATAAACTTCATCTGTCTCGATATCTGCCTAAAATAAAGGAAAGTTTTCGACCTTTAAGCAACAAGCCAATAGAGAAGTGTAGAACAGTAGAAGTACATAATTGAGCTTAAACCATTTGAGCCGTACATGCATTGTCACATTGTGAAGCTGGCAGATAAGCTGTGGAGGCAAGCTTGGATAATTAGGGATCTGAGCATCAACTTCCCTATTGGTTGATATAGCAACCTATGTAGCAGAACAAATCCAAATAAGAAAACATTTACAGACACTTACCACTTAAGCCAAATCAATTACAGTTATAATTAACTTGCCTGTTCACTGTGACCTTGAGGGAAGTAGACAACCCGGCTTCCCACAGCAGGGAGCGAAACAAGAGGACCGGCACAAGCATGCCAAAGTTCAGAATTCAGAACCCTCTTCTCACCTGCAGAAAAACCATTTCCATAGCCATCTTTAAAACCCTTTGAAGAACAACCGCTGCCAAGATCATAAAGATATCTGTACCAATTTGGAAACTTTGAATGGCCTTAAAGAATCTATCTAATGCCACAATCTATCCTCCAGCTAAACTTTATGTCAAGATTTCGCCTTTACAGTAAAAACGGGGTGCCAGACACAAAATTGTAAAGCTTCTAGTTGCTGAATAGCTATGGAAATCGACAAGTGAAGGTGGAGGAGACGAACAAAAAAAAAAAAAAAACCTCAAACAAGTAGAAAACAAGCTAAGGAGGCGTACCTTCTTGGTTGTGTTGGGGACTAAAACCAGCTGAAGAAAGCCTCATGATTACAAACTGGATTCAACCCCTCACAAATAGTTTCAGAAGATCCAAACAAGGAAAAAACCCCACCACTACCAATCGAACATCAACCCACACACACAACTTTCACCTTCTTCTTCATCTTCCCAGAATACAGCACAACCTTCATACCCTCTTCTTCTCTATTCCGCCCTTCCTTGCCTTTTCAACAAGCCAACTCCCCCCAAAACTGGCAAGAATCAATCAAGCGATTTTATCCCACGAAAAGAGAACAAAAGCCAACACTACTGTATCCACCACTATGCAGCCCCTCATTTGGAAGACAAATCCCACAAGAAAACCCCACCTTTTCCTCCCCTTTTTTTCCTTATTGTTCTGCTTGAGTGCTCGTTTCAACCGAAGCCGGTTTTACTACAGAAGACCACCGATTTCACCTTCATCCGCAGCCAATCTTGCCCAAACCCTTATTACTCCCCCACAGCAACTTCTACTCTATTGCAATGATTGACCACCAGGAAGAGAAATGAAAGAGAACACTCAAAACCCCAACAATAAATCTTTCAAGAGTTGGACCCCCACATTTCCTCAACTCCAAAAGCACCACACAACTTTGTCAGATGATGTTCCTGCCTCCCTCAACACCCTGCAGCAAACCTCAGATTGCAATAGTTGCCCGGATCTCGCCACAGAAACACCCACCACCTGGTTGCTGCTGGATTGAAATTGAGCTTCAGAAGAAACCCAGATCTCGCCGTACGATTTTGGTAAACAACTTGCCAAGGAAAGAAAGAGGGAAGGAAAGAGAGAAGCTCCCCTGTTTTTCTTTTTCTTCTTTTTCTTTTATGGGTATTGGGGGCTTCTCAACAGAGAGTACAGAGCATTTTCAAAGGAGCAGAATTTGGAGACCGCAACTTGTACATGCAAAGCAGGAGCAGACTAGGAGGAGAAGCAGCAGCAGCTACATATACATATATGAATATACATATAAAATAGATATATGGAGTTTGATTAAAGTATTTATTAATGGAAAATAGATCTTACTTGCTTCCTTCCATATCTAAAGATGTATGGCAAGCTGCTACTATACGTGTGCGTAGATAAACGCAATACACAATGATCGAAGGGAGAGGGGAAGGGAAAACAAAAGGGAAAAGAAAAGGACTTTCCTCCTTCTTCTGCTTCTACGGTCCCCTTTCTCCTTTTGTTTTCAGATTAGGTGACTGGGTTATGTTTTGTTTCCGATAAAGGAAACTAGAGCAGAGGAAAGACCAGGCCTTTGGGGGGTTTTTTTTTGGGGCTTTTTGGGGTTTAAGGTTAAAAACCATTGATGAGCTCTGAGCAGCTTCTTCAGCAGCTGATTTTAATTCTCTACTGCTGCTGCCGTCAGTTCATATCCGAACGGAGAAAGCAGAAGAACATGCAGAGAAAGCCCAAGAAGAATAATAATGTAAGAAAGAGTAGGAGGAAGGACTAGCTACTAGTTAACGCGAGAGGGAAAGAAATGGAGGAACTGGCAGTCCGTGTTTTGTACGAACGGAGAAAATGAGAGAGAGGTAAGAGGGAAAAGAGAGAGAGAGAGAGAGAGAGAGAGAGAGTAAAGTGGAGTAATGTGTCTTCGTGTCTGTCAGATTTTTCTCCCTTTTTTCTAAGTTTGGGAGGAAGCGAGAGACGGAGAGGGGAAAGGGGTTGTTTACTGTTATTTGTGTAAAATTTCGTCTTCGCCATTGTTATTGTTGTTTGGTTTTTACCTTTTTACGGGATTTTCCTTTCACAGTTATTTCATTTCGTTCGATGGGTGTTTGGTTTTCTAAAGTTTTTTTCATTCCAACTTTTGGGCCATTACATTGTTGTCTGGCTCATCTTTTGCTATTCTACTCTTTCTCGTTGCAAAGCATTAGGGTTTGATTCCTTTTTTCTATCCTTAACTACACAAACCTGTCCTCAGACTTGTATTGGTGGAGGAGAATCGCCTCCATGAAGTTGAAATCGCTAGCAATTGCGATGGTCTTTAGTCTTTACAACGGTGAATTTGTTTCTAAGTTTTGTACGCATCACTTATGAAATATAAACGTTGGTCGTGTTCAAAGTTAATTAGCGTGACTACAAAGAGAGATTAGTGACTAAAGCGAAGTTGGTAGGATTGGTCTACTTACTACTTTAGTGCTATGGTGGTTATGCAAGGAAGAAACTTGAGGAAACAAGGCCAAAGGTAGGCATGGCAATGGGTACATAAAAGTGGGTTCACCCACACAACCTCGATGAACCCGTGAGTAAACTCGCTAGTGTCGGATACCAGTCATGGATGGGGAAACCCAAAATATGCATGGTAGCATAGATGGGCCAGGTTCGAATATCACACTATCTGCTCCGATCCCATTCGGTATGGCATACGATGATGTTCCAATTTCTAAAATCTGGGATGGATTTCACTCAAAATCTCTCATTTTTCTCTCGCTTCGCATGCAACAGCTAGCAACCCAACCCAACAAACTTTCTCCTTGTAGACGTTGTGTCGCCTCCATTGAACCTGGGGAAGAAAAGATTATGCACACAATATTTTGACCTTTTTCATCTCCCAGCTTTCTATCGAACTCTGTGTTTTCTTCTTTATGCACAATACTACCTAACTCTGTACTATGCAATAAGAACATCAGAGGCCGCAAAGAGAGTGTGTTGATAGGCCCTCTGAAACAATGGTTTCAAATATTAGGGCGCCTCCAACTAAGTGTGTTAGTTAATTGATCGCATATTACAGGTTGTATTTATGTGGTGTAAGATTATTTGATTATAAGTATGATGATGTATTTAATTATATTAATATATATTGATGCTAATTATTAGTCAAGATTCTCGTGTATATATAGATATGAGGCACATACGATGTTGTTAAGGTCCCGCTTGTGTGTCGAAAACATATTTATGTTAAATAATGACACAAGAAAGACTTCATGAATTAGCTATGAGTATGACAACAATTGAAATAATATCGTGAAGAATACGAAAATCAGAGAGCTAATATATAATTTTATATTACACCATGCTAGAAATATATTACATTTTAAATAACGATGCCATAGCCATCCTCATTTTATTATATCTAAAATCCAACTTGAACTATATCTCAATTTTGGAACAGGCATCCACGATTAATTAGACGAAGAGCATCCAATTAGTTTGTATTTGTAATGACTTCTAATTAGCACGCGCGTGGAGCTCGATCAGCTGGAACATTTCCACTTTCCAGCCATAGTGGATTAACATTCATATATTATCCTAATTATATGATTAGGTCTTTTTATTATTTTAAAACTATATATAAAGTTACCAAATACGTGCACGTCATTAACTGTAGTAATTAAGAAACCTAATAATAATAAGGTCAATTATATTACCCGTGACAATAAACAATTGCATGCACCGCCAAAAAAGTTAAAAGATTCGCTCCTAAATTCCTGCCCATAATATATAATATAATTCCACGTTAATTAGGACGTCGTTGAACACTACGCTATCTTGTGATGACTACCCCCTAATGTTGACGTGCCCAACCCTAAAAAAAAATCTCATACCAATCTAAGATTTTCTCCATATTTATTGCTTTTTTAATCAACAATTAGGCACACTAATAATCAATCAATTGTGGGCATGGGGGGAATTAGGGATATTTGTTTGTCTTGACTATTGATGTTCCAACAAAATACGACACTTGACTTGAGAGAGGGAGAATAATTGATGGTTGAATTAAGAGTGGAGCCCATGACCACGATCTGATCTGATCTGATCGATCTTTGGTTAATTAATTGTGTTGGTTTGTTTATGGAATTGATGATGGTGATGATAGTCATTAAGGGACAAGCGCCTGGTGCCCACTAATCATGATTAATGATAATCAGGGGAAACAACACATACAACAAGAGGGAGAGAGAGAGAGAGAGAGTGAGGGAGAGAATAAGGCATGCAGAAGAAGAGATTAGAGAAGAGGCTTCAAGCCGTTTAAAGTAGGGTTTGGGGGCATGCTGTGTTTTAGACAGACACAAAACGTGGGATGGAAACAAATTGGGTTGACCTTACATTGCTTGTTTTGTAATAATTTCCTATTCTTTTCCCCCCTTCATTTGGATGATGTATTACAATGAGATTTAAGACAAAATGCGTCTAAAGTCTAAACACAATTTTAAGCAATCGTCTCATTTGAAAAGAAGGAGATAGGTAGCTCTAATGTGGGGGTTTGAATTGGAGCATAAATAATTGGACGTTCTCGAGTCTCGGCCAACTTTCTTCCACTATCTCTGTGTGAGATATTCGATAATGATTGGGCATTCAATGAAGAATTGGACATTTATCAATAACAAATGCTTAGCACAGAAACATGAAGTACCATTCATTACAGGGCACGACAAACATTACTTAAAAGCCTTTGTTTTTGCTCATCACCCTTTTGATGATGGGCATATGTTTTAGTTCATAATGTTTCGTTTTAGTTGGGCTGCAAACGTGAAAATGTTTAGTTAATTGAGATGTTATATCCAAATGTTTCATTTTCAAAATGCTCCAATATCCAAACAACCCATATGTTTCTCAAATATGGATTTCATTTTCCCCCTTTAATTGATGGTAAACAATGAAACAAGGGGCAACAACTCCTCCATAGTCATGCACGATCTAATAAGTTGAAACGTTATATGGGCTCTTTAAAAATGGAGTGGACAAAGAGATAAATGATCCTGATAGGCAAAGTAATCCGCTAAAAAAGTTAGCCTCTCCAATTATGTGCAATAAAAGACGAATCTCACGGTCCAAAATTAATATGTAACAAACAATGAAACTTTAGATGACAACCGGGTATATGTTCGACTATCGAATTAGGAAGAATACTATAATAGAGCATGTCTAAAAGAAATGTAGTTTTGGTGTAGCAGATGCATCAAAGAACAAGGGTAAAAAAGAAGACAACCCTAAAATTCCTTGTCCCTCCTTTTGTCTTGCTTTCTTTCTGCTGGTGGTTTGTTATTGTTGTTGTTTTG